TAGTAAAATGTATATTATTAAGAGTTGGGGCTTAGCATATAAAAATGCTGAATATACGCGAGCTTAGTCTGTGAGAAATAAAATAAAAATTTTGAATAATGGGTCTAATTAGTGAATCATGCGGGATAGTTCTGCTCCATAGAAGCATATAGTTTAGATTTCTCTGGATTAAACAGTGGCTAACAAATTTTTCAGAGTGATGAATAGCAATACGGACAGAGCAGTAAAATAATATATTTATTCCTTTCCCTTTGCTAAGGGGTAATAATAAGCTCAGGCTTTGCAGCTTCAACGTCAACAGCCCGAGCGACTCTAGCCGCTGATAAAAACTTCATTAATCCCATAGAATGCCACGGGGTACCAACTAGTATTATCAGCAACTGGGGAGCAGTCAATGGCCAAGTCCCAGACAAATAAGCGATGCCATTATCAACGTTCTAATCAACGATGAAGCAGATTATGATGCGGATGGGACATATGAGCGGAGGGCGGGCAGAGCAGGGCAATACATGCCAGCTGATGAACTGCGCGCGCGCGTGGGTGTGTGTGTGTGTGTGTGTATAAATGAATTAGTTGGCATTAAGTATACGCCGCAGTGTACGCAAAAGCTAAGCAAGCATGATTTAAGAAATATGCTCCAGACTTGTGACTGCTGCTCATTTGCAGGGACCGTGGAGTGGGCGGGGCTGTGGGAAGGAGGATGCCTAATATGTGCGCAGCCTTGATACTGCTACAGCTCGCTGTGTGAAGCATGAAATATTAATTCCTTAAGTAATTCACAACATTTGTAACTAATGTTTGTTAATGAGCCACCCAGCCACCCAGTCACCAGCAGCGCCACCTGACCTGGCTCGCACTGACTCTGTAAGCTCTCTTTGACTAACTGCCAAGCGTTGGCTGAGGTCAAGGCGGCGCCTCAAGTTGAATTACTTCTGCGTCTGGCCCGCTAAATGCAAGCATTACCAACTGTAAAAGCGAGAAAGCCCAACTGGACTCAGTTCCGCCCTCTCCTCCCCATCCACCCCCTCTTCACACTCTTAGCAACTCAGCTGAGGACGACCCTGTGCTGAGCGTTCGGCAGACACTTAATGAAATAATTATGTAAAAGCCAACTGGCTGCCGCCAGGCCACCTTTTTGGCCAAAGATGTGGTTTTCGCATTCATTAATTCTCCTCCCAATGCAGTTTAAGGCAAAAGTATAATTATTTATTATGCCACAGATTGCTGGCAATACCTTTTAGTGTTTACAAGCATTATAAACCCTAAATTAACAAGTCTTGGCTGAGTCTAATGCATTGAGGTAATTCACTTACATTTGAGTTGGAATGCGTTGCAATTCGAGGAGAGGAGAGTAGAGAGAATGATTTGAGATAGGACTATGTGCATGATAAAAAATATTTGTGTTATACTTGTTATATATATGATAATATTTAATATTTTATATGATATATGAATATACATTTCCCCCCTTTGCCTGATCCATGTCTGATATCTAAGTATTAAATTACTTTGTAGCTAACAGGTTGCTTTATCAGCATGGTTAATGCATATTGATAGCTTTGCGCCTCTGGGAATATGAACTAGACTTTTCCAAATGCATTTTATGTATATGGCTGTACATGCTGAGCAGTTGACACAAAACTGTCGCAGCGCCAATTTGAGCGGCAGCTAAACGTGTTTATGCGGCACTGCGGAGGGCTTATAAAATGCAACTTTGACACAAATGCGACGCTAATCAGCGAGACAACACCCACGCAGCCACTAGTAATGCCACCAAGGCAGCGAGCTTGTCACTGGGCCATAAAATATGCAACAAAACGTGCAAAAAAAGCCACTAACAAGCGGCATGAGGCAGGGATAGAGCCAGAGACTGAAAGAGAGAGAGAAAGAGAGAGGGAAAGAGGTAGAGAGTAGAGGGAGCTGCATGTAAAATAATTTGAAAACACGGCATTTGCGTAATGAAGCATGTGAAAAGCGCCAGGCGAAGCTGCTGAGAACTGGTGAAAAGCGCTCATAAATGCCAGAAGTTATGCAAGTCCTTAACTTTTATAAGCAGCGGAGTCTGAGGTGCGGTGCCCGCCTGCAAATAGACTACGACTTCAGGTGCAAGTGGCGTATCACACATGTTTGCCGAGCGGGGTGAGCGGAGTGCAGCGCGTGAGTTTCGCTGTGCTGCAGTGGCTGCGGTTCAGCTGACACAAATGTGCGAATTCTCCCACCAACTTTACATAGAAGAAGAAGGAGTGCATCTAGTCGAGACTGCTCGACTACGAGTCATACTCGACTCTCTCAACTCGACGAGCTGATATTCCACTCGGCGCTCTCTTATGCATTTATCACAAATAACTTGAGAACAGATTTAGGCATAAAGATTACAAAATCTTCATATTCATTATACGGATCTACAATGTAAATTAAGAAAAAAACAAAACATATACATATATATATAAATTATGATCCTACTACCTACCGATTAACACGTTTAAGAAGTTCAGAAATATTTTAAGCCTATAGCTTTTGTGCCATATCTGTGCTATATCTATTATTTCGACTCAGCTCATCGCACTGATCAAGCATATATCTACTTTATGAGATCTGCCACGCCCCCTGCTGCCTGTTATACGAATTTGCTGCAAACCATTATACCCTGATTTCCCATTTTCAGTGGGCTCAGGGTATAAAAAGACGAGAAAACGTAAAAAATTGTCACCTGCAGTGGCGGGCGACGGGCGACGGGCGAGGCGCTTGTCGTCTGAGCCAAAGACTGGCATTCGCATTCAGTGCGTAATCTTCACCTTTTTCACAGCTTTGCCATGCACTTTTATTGCATGCTTGCAAGGCGACTTCCCCGCAACACTTGCCGCTTGTATCGACAAAAGTTGTGCCTTGAATTTGCCACTTTATGCCACGTAGCTAGCACCAAATCCGAAAACCCAACCAGCTCACCAGCTCACCTGCCTGCCGCTGCACGGTGGCTCAAGTGCAGAAATTCTAAGCTGAGAAATCAAAGCTAAACAGCATTGAAAAGTATTACCAATGAGTAAAGGCAGTTTAATATCACTCAAAGTGAATATATAATGGATAAATAATCAATATATAATGAAAATATGATTATATAATGAATATAAGTAACAAAAGACCTTGGCTTTTAAAGTTCTCTGAAGCATTTTGACGAAAAATCTGTTAAATTTAAAGCGCGCAATAATTTTGACCCATACAATGCATAAATTGCCCATGGTAGCTGGCAGCTGCAGCCCGCTAAGTAGTTGTAAGCTGCATAATGTATTTACGCAAGCACCGGAAATTGGGTGCTGCGGAAAGTGGAAGCAGGAGGAGCAGGAGGCAGCTAGCATTTGCCTCCAGTTGGCAGCAGCAGTAGTAGCAGAGACTCAGCTCGTCAGGTTGCAGCCAGTGTGCTAAACGCGAATAGACAAGTGTGATCCTTGCGGATGTGGATGCGGGCTGCGGGTTGCGGAATGCGGATTGAGGGCTGTGAGCTGTGAGCTGTGAGATGTGCTGGGTGCTTGATGTTAGATGCATATGCGGACTGTGGATACGGGCTGCTGTTGCTTGGTTTATGCGCGCATATTTGATGGCATTGTGAATTTCGGTGCAGAATTAGAGCTCTTAGCCCACAGAGCGCTCTCCACTCAGCTTGAGCATTCATTAATATGCAGTGCTTAAGTGGGGTGAGGAGCTGAGCCACGCGAGGCTCACAGCTGCTGGAGTACGTATTAGCCAACCTCGGCTTAAGGTTGACCAATGGGACAGAAAAACCCCTACCTTTGAGGGCTCTTGAAAAGATTCTTTAGCTGGATTTGCCAATTAATGTGTGGGCTATTAAAATCGACTTAAATACGTGGATGACTCAATTGAATTAAGCTTTTGTCTTCAATTCCCATATACATACATACTGTGGGCTTCAGAGAAATCAAGTTTTTCTGCTTGCTAGACATTCATTCAGCTGGGGCCGACAATAATGCCAAACAACCCTGGTGGAGATCATGAATAAGTCCATAGCATACGAGAAAATTTGTGCAGAGGCAATTAGAAATCATCCGATTGATGACATAGTATGTATGATGATATATATATGATTGATAACATATGTACATATGTATATGACGGAAATTTATGCAGATTGGATAATTTTGAGGCGTGCAGCGTGTCCCAACACTGTTGCCCTTCTTCTTCTTTCCAATCAACTGACTGATATTTCTATTCGAGCACTCGATTAACACACATTTCACTCAATCAATATCACCCAAATTGGGAGACCCAATACTATGCATGAACCGATATATCGATACGATATTCTATTCGATTAATACTATCATCTCCGACATATGTATATATAAATTTATGCTTATACTAGAATACTTTCCAAAACAATAATCATAATTGCTAAGCTCAACAATTCGGAAGGTTCCACATGACGGCGTTCTTTAAAGTTTTTGAACGAATAGTTTTAAGAAAAGTTTGAACATCATATTCGAGCACCAGTTTTAGTACGGAAACGGAAAACTACGCTTGAGCATGCCATCGCATCATTCATACAATTGTTATTATGCAAGCGTTTTCAAGAATAACCAAATAATCCCTAGATATAACCGGCCTTTGGTAAAAAAAAACAGGAGCCTGTACACAATATTCTTCATGACTATAAAATCGTATCTGGAAAACAAAATACTTTACGTTCAAGGACGAATCGTCCAGTCCTTTATACTGATGTCGCTGGAGACCTTTTGACTAGTATATTGGGTTCGCTTCAGCACACTGCTTTTACGGCCGACATGCCTTCTACAACCCCATTTTATACACAATAGCAACATATGCTGGTGACACTGCAGTCGAGCGCTCATCCAACCTGCAGCAAGCAGAGCTTTGTCTTATTGAAGGCGAACACACAAAAGTCAGTGCACGTTATCTTCTCTCTCAAACCTGGACATTATCACTCAATGGCTCCATCCGGGCCTGCGAAATAGTATATGAGTAGAGTGTGGATTGAGTTCACTGCAAATCCAACCATTCAGTTAATTATTGCCATTTTATATGGTTTGTCAATTGACTTATTGTTTATGTTAACCCATATAACAAATAAAGCATAAAAAAAAAAGAAAAATAAAAAATTAATTTTGCTGGTATTTATTATTTCTCTTTTTTTTTCATATACAACATATATATTTAAATTCATATGGGATAAATATATTCAAATAATAATCTATAATTTAAGTCTTGCATTAAAGAATCAAGAGTCAACAGAGAAGCGTCCCAGGCATGCTGAGCAACCCTTTGCATAGGTATTCTCATATTGCTAATTATACATATTTCTGAGTGTATTATTTCATATTACACTAACCTAAACATTGTATATGCAAAGTTTAATGTATGTTAATTTTCAGTTATTGCAGAGCATTTAGTTTTCAAACGCAGACGTCGAGTTAAGCAAAAGCTTGACACGCTACCTATGCATATATGACTAGCCCTCTCTCTACTTTAATGTCCCCTGGAAATTTTGCGGTTGTATGCAAATTAACTTAAATGTCAACGTTGAAACAAAATTTCATTTCTTTTTTGTTTTTTGTTTGACTACAAACGCAGAATTCAGAGCTAACGAAATGTCAAAAAGAGGAATTCCAAACCAGCATTCAAATGACTGAAAAATTGTGCAGCAAAATGAAGCAAGCGAGGCAACGGCTAAATGGGGCAGAGTATTTGGTGAACAGAGAGAGAGAGAGTGAGAGAGAGAGAGAGAGAGAGAGAGAGAGAGTGAAAAAAAATAGTCAGACAAACTGCAAACGTCAAGCAAATTTCATCTCTAGCTCTGTCTCTTTCTCTCTCTCTCTTTTTTTTTTAACTCTACATTGACTGAAACTCGGTGACAATGATGTTAACTAGAGTGTGAAAACTATGATTGGCTGTCGAGAGATACGTGCAGAAGGGGCAAGGGGCGCTTAAAGTGTTGGATAACGGCAGCAGCCGAGTGGCGGCTGAAGAGAGGCTGTCCTTGTCGCTGTCAGCAGGAGTAGCAGCGGGTGCCAACGCCAGCAAAGTGCTCTATGATTTATACCGTATTTGCAGGCAGTTGTTGGGATGACATTCTCTTTACTTTAGCGACACATGCTCCCTCACACACTCACACACTCGCACACACTAGTGAATTGTTGTTGCATCATGTTTCACATACGCTTTCAATTTGGCATCGCTGTGCGCCTATTGGCAGTGAAAAACTGTGCCAAAACGAAGGCAATTATTTTCAAATGCCGACTAATTAGTCAGGCAGGTCAACCATAAAATCCTTCGCTGATTTCTCTGCTAACTACAAATTTCTACAGAACGAAGGACAAAGCGAAAATTTCTTGCTAAATATAGATCAATGAGTGCATTAGACTGATTAATGTCGATTGTGCAACAGACTTAGACAGAAGAGCGGAGCTTGCGTTATGCAACAAACTATTCAGTTCGCGAAATTGTTATGTTAATAATATTAAATATATAT